AAGTATTAACAGCTGTGCCAAACAAAGCATAAGTATTAATAGCTTTACTAGCCATTATGTCCGCCTGGTTTCCTGGCCCTGTTCCACGAGTTCTTTTTTTCAATAATGTAATCCTTCCCATCTCACCTTTTTTTTTATCCAGACATGACCTAATCTAAACTTATTTTGAGCCATAACTAGTTATGTGTATCAAACAGACTCTTAATATCCAATATAGTCCGGACTAGTAACTAGTCATATATATTCAAGCAAGCCCTTAAAATCATGTTATTAATTTGAAGAAAACAAGGAACCGACTTTATACCTAGCACAATCAAAGCCAACATATAAACACACACACTTGTGAAAAATGGGGTTCGCGATTATCATTTCACGTGCAAACCACACATGTATAACCCAGGTAGGCTCAGTAAAATGTGGTGGTGCTCGGTCGCCTCATGATCGATCCCATTTCCATATATTGAGGCAGGTGTCTGACCCAAATTTAAGATGACTCCATGCTTTTCATCCTATAAATCGTCCTATAAAAACTTGTTTGATGTTTGATTCGCATCGATCCACGTGTGTGGGATGTATTGGAGTGAAACTTAGTTCAAGTTCCAATTCAATCTACTGCAACACATGTGAATTAAGGTGAATTTAACAACATCTAAACACGGCCTAAAGATGATAATAATCCTCCCTGTAGAAATAACGCGGTATCCTTTGGACATGCTAATCTCATTTTCCGCCCTTGTGGTACTATATAAGCTCACGCCAATGAAAAAGCATCGATACTTTTAGTGGCGGGTGGTCAAGAATATTGGTAACCAGCTGCAGCCCTTTTGTAAGCCTGAAGGCACCAAGAGAAACGATCAACAATGCCCCTTTTTTTCATTTTGGCCTTTTGGGACACGATATGAACAAGCAATTCTACAAAACAAAAGAAAAGTTAAGTGGCGCAAATGGTCTCAGCAAGAATCCGGCGACGGCAGACGGTGCATGAAGCATTGACAAACCGACAGTGGATTACATGTATCTCCGGTGGCATTACCATGAACGCCCTTGCCGAGTACTTGGACCTCTGGCGCACTCTACAAGATGTCATCCTCAACGACCAGCCGAACAGAACGATTTGGCATTGGACTCCGGATGGGATCTACACTTCCAAATCAGCATACATGATGCTTCACGCTGGCTCAGCCAAGTTCAGAGGACATCGACTCATTTGGAAGACATGGGCTCCACTGAAAGTGAAGGTGTTCCTATGGCTAGCATTCCGAAGATGTCACTGGACGGCTGACCGGCGGGCAAGGCATGGACGTACTGGAGGCCAGGCAAGAATGCTACCTATGTGATCAAGCACAAGAAACAATTGATCACATTATCTCTTCCTGCCCATACTCAAGGGAGGTGTGGTTTCATATCTGTCAGACCCTGGGCACACAGCTACCACCGGCGACGAACACTATCATTAGCTGGTGGAGGCGCCTGAGATCGGCATGGAATGGCCAGCAGCGGCGTGGATTCGACTATCTGTTCTCGCTGGTTTCTTGGGAACTATGAAACGGAAAATGTTCCGGTAGACTGGGGGTATTACCAAAAACGATAATCCAAATCCATGCTTACTTGTTTAGGTGGTGTTTAAATTCATGAAGTAAAGTTTAGAGATGTTATATCGGGGTGTTACATGAGAGTGTTCGGATAATAATAATAAAACAAATTATATAAGTTCTCAGTAATCCGCGAGACGAATTTATTAAACATAATTAATCCATCATTAGCATATGTTTATTGGAGCACCACATTGTCAAATCATGGACTAATTAGGCTTAAAAAATCGTCTCGCAAATTGGTTCGTAATCTATGTAATTAATTATTTTTTAGTCTATATTTAATATTACATACATGTATCTAAACATCCGATGTGATAGGAAATAAATTCTAGGGGTATTTAATATGGATATACTCCATTTCTTTATTCATCTATTTAATCTACAAGTTCCGGGAAGAAGAAATTAAAATTCGTTGGCGTGCATGCTGTAAATCACCGGTGACGTGACAAGACACCCCGAAATAAAAATACTCAGGAGAGAGGAGACTACAAAACAACATTATATGTGCGAAGCTTATTTTAAAAGCTTACGAGACTTTTTTTCGTGGCAATACTTAGCGTTTGGTTGAAATTTATAGAAAAAAAACCGGAAATTGTGTTGTTTTTCTCTCACACCAAATGAAAAAGCTGAAAGTTGTTTGGTTAAACAAGTATAAAATAATAATCTCTTGAAACAACTATGGAAGAGCTTTTTATTCCATCAATTTGAAAAAGAAAGCCAAAAACTAAAAGGATGATTATATTTCAAAAATGCTGAAGCTTTAAAAGTTTTGCTTTTTCAAAAAAGCTTACGAGACTTTTTTCCGTGGCAATACTTAACTAACATCGTAGATTGCTAGATCCTTGGATGTTGGCACGGGCATAAATAGTGGAGAAAGAAAATAGCGTGTGGAAAGAGCTGGCTCCCGATGTAGTACCACCAAATCTTGGAGGTCAAAAGTCAATTTTGAAGCTTGAAACAGTCCAAAACGGAACGGATGTACTCTGGGTAGTTTAGTTAAGGACTTTAGGGCCACTCGTGCCTTTTTCTAAGAAAAAAAACATTTATTGGATAATGGATTACTCAACTCTTGATGCACCAATTTTTGTTTGTTGGATACATGTTCCTCCATAATGTTTTGGACATAATAAAGATATAGAATTATAGATTTTACATAACCTATTTTTTGGCAAATCACTCAGACACTTATACATTCATGCACATTCATCCCTGTAAAGTGTAAGTGCACATAAACACGTGCTATCCTATGAGCACCCCGGAAAGAATAAACCAACAAATCTCGAGATCAATGAAGTGTGTTTACTCTTGATGAGAACTCGTATACTACTAAAAGAACAACGCCATTAAATATTGAAACATATCTAGAAAATAAATTACAAGCACCCATGGTACTACGTCGACAAACTTGGGTAGGACAGGTTCTACCAACTGAGGTACCATAGGTTGAAAGCATATAACCAATGTGTATGTTGGTAAAGGACGACCCAATATTTTTATGAAATAATTACTAATCTCGTGCCATTCAATTTTGCAGAACCATTTCGTTGTTATTTGTTGCAACCACCCAATTTACCTATCGCTACTTGTGAAATATTAACGGTCACAACCAATGCGTACGTTGGCGGTAAATGACCACCCCGCGTACGCGATTCCTTTCCCTCCCCCTCGTGCGCCACCGCCGCTCTCGCCGACTCGCCGCCCGCCGTCCACGCTCGCGCCGGCCCGTGCACTCATCACGGCCACGTAGTAAAACCGTAAAACCAACCCCAAAAAAAGTATAGCAGCGAAAAGAAAAGTCATGTCGCGAGCAAACGCGCCACTCATGGCATTGGGCGACCGACTCTGGTCTGGTGGAGCCTGCCTGTGGCCTGGCCTGGACCAGCGGCGCAGGCACTACGGCCGGCCATCCCGGGCTCCCGGCCCCAGTGAGTGACGCCGCACGACGCCATCGCACGCACCAGGCAGGCAGGCACCACACCAGCACTCGCCGGCAGTGGCCAGCGGCAGGGGCCCCAACGCTACGCTACGACCACACGACACGGGATTCCGACGCGATTAGCCGCGTGCTTATCCGGCGGATACGGCTAGCCGCCCTTGATGATCCTTGGTTAACACGGGACGGGAGCTCTACTCTGTCTCTCTGTTCTGCATCGTCGTGTTCGCGACAGCGAAGGAAGGAAGGGGGAGTTGGTAGTAGATCGATAAAGGGCGGCGTCTTTCTTTCCCATCTTTCCTCACCAAAGCGAGACTAAGGCCTGGTTTAGATTGTAAATTTTTGTAATCTAAATACTATAGCACGTTTCGTTTGTATTTGATCAAACTTTGTTTGATCATGAACTAACTAGGCTCAAAAGATTCGTCTCGTGATTTACAACCAAACTATATAATTAGTTAATTTTTTACCTATATTTAATATTCTATATATACGTATCCAAAAATTAATATGATAAAGAGAGAAAAAAAAACTTGAAAATTTTGAGCCAATCTAAACAAGGCCCGGAGCGAAGGAGGGATCACAGACAGCAGCGCCCGCAGCACAAAAGCGTTCGTCGGGGCTTTGGATTCCCAGCAATTCCGTTCCAAAGCAGCAGCCTACCGAATCGCGGGACCCCGCCCGCGCCGGACCGCCTGCGCACACCGCACAGCGCACGCCTACTCCTCTTCCTCCCTCCCCTGTCCCCTCCAACCGTCCGTCACCCTCCTCCTGCCGCAGCAGCAGCGAGAGCCGAGCGAGCAAATCTTGGGGGGCTTTCGCACCCGCTCTCCCCGGTGCTTGTGGCTGGTGGTGGATTCGCTCCCCTTTTTCTTCTCCGGGTCGGGTTGGGTTGGATTTGGTTGCGTTGCGAGGTGAGGTGTGGTTGGGGGTGGGAGAGGAGAGCTCGCTCGGTATACTCGCGCGCGCGCTCGGGTGGCGGAGTGGTTACTACTTCCCCGCTTGGCTTCTTGCTGGTGGTGCTGCGCCCGCCCCGCTGGGCCGTGTCGTGCCATTAAAGCCGGCGCCTTTGGGTTTTTCTCTCCACCTCTCTCTATCCGCCCCCGCTCTCCCACTCCCCTCTCCCTCTCTAGCTGCAGATTGGTGCCTGCCTGCCTTCCCCCTCTTGCTGCGGTCGGTGGTTGGGGCCTGGTTCCGCCGCCTGCTCGGGAGCCTCCACCGGGGCTCCGAAGTCCAAAGCCGCCGCGCCGCCGCCTTCCCGTGGCGCACCACCTCGGGAATTCTTGCCTTCTTGGGTTTCGAATCTCGTCGCCGGTCCCCGCCACGCGGCTGGCGCCGGGGTTTGATTCGCGGCGTTTCTTGCAAATTCGGGGTGATTTGGGCCCCTGGATGGCGAGGATTTGAGTGGATTCGAGGGGAACAAGTGGAGGTGGAGTTCTGATTTGGTTCGCCACTTCGCCGTGGTATGTGCCATGAGGAAGCTCTTCTTCTCCGAGTCCGCCTGCAAGGAGACCAAGCTCCATTCCGCGCCCCACTCATGGTTGCCCCTCGAGAGGGGGAAGCTCTCCAAGTTCTCCGGCCATGCCGCTGCCGGCTCCTCCATGTAAGCCCCCGCCCGTCGCTTGCTCTGCCGTACCTGATTTCCGGACTGATTTCTCAAGATGTGCTCGTGTATGCCTGAATTGTGTTTCACAAGACTCGGTCTTTTGGGTACTGATGCCGATTTCGCTGTGAAGAAGAATTGGCTGATTGAGATGTTCGCCCTCTTCTGTCTGTGCTGCAGAGATTCCTTGATGAAGATGCCAGAGCCGGCGGTGCTTCCGCACTTCAAGCCCGCGGACTATGTCGACATACTGTCTCAGATACATGAGGAGCTGGAGTCCTGCCCTCCTGACGAGAAGTCCTGCCTGTACCTGCTCCAGTTCCAGGTCTTCCGCGGCCTCGGCGAGGCCAAGCTGTCGCGGAGGAGCCTCCAGTCCGCGTGGGAGAAGGCGAGCACCATCCACGAGAAGCTCATCTTCGGGGCGTGGCTCAAGTACGAGAAGAAAGGGGAGGAGGCGATCGCCGACCTGCTCAGCTCGTGCGGCAAGTGCTCGCAGGAGTTCAGGCTGCTGGATTTCGTGTCGCAGGTCTCCACTGGGTCACATGTGATGAGCTATGATGATGATGATGAGTCTGATGAGTTTCGGGGCTCTGTGGTGGTTCATTTCCGGATAAGAGATGATATGATTGCATGCGATCGGCGGAAGCTCGCGGCTCTGTCGACTCCACTGTATGCAATGCTTAACGGTGGATTTAGGGAATCGTATCTGGAGGTCATTGACATGTCTAGAAATGGTATCTCCCCTATTGGCATGAGGGCCATCAGTAAATTCAGCCTATCAGGAAGACTACCATACTTGTCGGCTGATGCTATCTTGGAGATGCTTGATTTTGCCAATAAATTTTGCTGCAAGGGCCTCAAGGATGCATGTGAGCGAAAGCTTGCTTCTTTCATCTCTTCAAGGCAAGATGCTATAGACTTCATGGAGTGTGCTCTTGAGCTGGGCTGTTCCATCCTTGCTGCTTCGTGCTTGCAAGCGCTCTTGAATGAGCTTCCAGAGTGCTTGAATGATGAACAAGTGGTTCGGATATTCTCCTCTGCAAATAAGGCACAGAGATTGACAATGGTTGGCAATGCATCTTTCTCCCTGTATTGCCTTCTTAGTGAAGTCTCCATGAGTACCAATCCAACATCGGATGTCACTGTAAGTTTCTTGGAAAAGCTGGTAGAGTCGGCATCAGATTCTAGGCAGAAGCAGGTGGCCTTACATCAGCTGGCATGCACCAGATTTCTAAGGAAAGATTACCCTGAATCTGAGCGCCTGTTCAATGCTGCCTTTTCTGCCGGCCATCTCTATTCGCTAGTGGGTTTGGCTAGATTGGCGTCTCTGAGGGGTAATAAGCATTTTGCTCTCAAGTTGCTAGATTCTGTTATGTCATCTCGGTGGCCTCTTGGGTGGATGTATCAAGAGAGAGCACTATATTTGGAGGGTGATAACAAGTTAGAAAATCTTAACAAGGCTACTGAGTTGGACCCTACTCTTACATATCCCTATATGTTCCGAGCTGCATCTTTGATGAAAAGGCAAAGTGTTGAAGCTGCATTGATGGAGATAAACCGGATCCTTGGATTCAAACTGGTGCTGGAGTGCTTAGAACTAAGGTTCTGTTGCTACCTTGCCCTTGAGGATTATAGGGCTGCCTTATGTGACGTGCAGGCAATCCTCACTCTTGCCCCAGATTATCGTATGATTGGTGGCCGGGTTGCTGCCAAGCAGCTGCGAATGCTAGTGCTAGAGAATGTAGAGCAGTGGACAGCTGCTGACTGTTGGATGCAACTTTATGATCGCTGGTCGTCTGTGGATGATATAGGGTCCCTCTCTGTTATATATCAAATGCTGGAGTCAGATAATGCCAAAGGAGTTTTGTACTTTAGGCAATCTTTGCTTCTTCTCAGGTAAATAAATTAATTTATGTTATTGCTTATAGAAGAATAGTTTGCCTAATCCAGTATTATAGAGTAACACAATAATGGTCATAGTAGATGCTCATGCTATTGCACATGGTTTGGCAACTTGGTGTCTTGGCATGTATTGCACCTACTAGTATCATGGGTCTGAAAGCTGGAATGTTCTCACATGTTTGTCTTGTCAGCATGTTTGCACATGTCTTCTTTGCTAAGTGCTAACTTACTGCATGTTTTTTATGATATCGCTATTTGGGGTGTTAGGATTGATATGGTTTCATTTTGTGCTATCAGATTAAACTGTCCTGAGGCGGCAATGAGGAGTTTGCAGCTTGCTCGTGAGCATGCTGCAAGTGATCATGAAAGGCTTGTCTATGAAGGATGGATATTGTATGATACTGGCCACTGTGAGGAAGGACTGCAGAAAGCGGAAGCATCACTTGCAATACAAAGGTCATTTGAGGCATTTTTTCTGAAAGCTTATGCTTTGGCTGATTCGAGTCTTGATCCTTCGACCTCAGCAACAGTCGTATCACTTCTAGAACATGCATTGCGGTGTCCCTCAGATAGACTTCGGAAGGGTCAGGTAAGGGCTCTTTTTTTTCCCTCCGCATCATTTCCTGAATTTCACTTAGCTAAGTGGACCATGAATGCACAGGAGCCGTTGTCCTTTTTCTGCCTTGGCATGCTGCATAATGTTGGGATTTAAGACATCTTGTACCAAAAACAGGAATATAGTTGCCAGTTGCCACTATTTATTTTTCCTAGACTTTCATCATTCTCCTTGGAAAATATGAAGTGGAAATTTATTGCTACATTTGTTGAGTAGTCACTTTTTTGGGGGTAGAGAGGGGTCTTAGATTCTTGCTATTGCTTTCATTCTTCACCTATGCATTTGTTCAATTGCCAGGTGTTGCTAAATTTTGTTAGGAAGTTAAGATGTCCTATTTATTCATTGACCATTGTTGCATTAAGTATGGGAATGTCAGTCTCACTCTTAAAAATGGTTGTCCTGTTTCTCCTAACATGGCAAATGATGAACTGGACTCTTGGGTACACTCTAAGTTTAATTTTATTTCCTGCCAAGTAGTTGGCCTGTTAGCTAAGTTAGAGCATCCAATATCATCACTATTACTGGAAATTTTCACTTTAACCCTACAGATAAATGAAGCACTCCTGTCAATGGCTAATGAAAAGATTTTTTTTTTAAAAAAAAAAATACATGAACTTGAGGAACTGCCCTGTGTATGTCTCTTTGTCATTCTAGTTTGAGATGTGCATAACTGCAACTTACTGATAATTATCTAACATCTTGTAGGCTCTAAACAACCTTGGAAGTGTTTATGTGGATTGTGGAAAGCTAGACCTGGCAGCTGAATGCTACATTAATGCCCTAAAGATTGGCCACACCAGAGCGCATCAAGGCCTTGCAAGGGTTCATTTCCTTCGGAACAACAGAGCAGGTGCATATGGTGAAATGACCAAGTTGATAGAGAAGGCCAGGAACAATGCATCAGCATATGAGAAGAGATCTGAGTACTGCGACCGGGAGCTGACAAAAACGGACTTGCAGATGGTCACCAAACTCGACCCTCTGCGAGTCTATCCCTACAGATACCGTGCTGCTGGTAAGCACCTCTTCCTGCTGCATGGCATATCCAGTTTCTTATAATTTTAGTATGACAAAGCTAGGACGTGATGTGATCCTAGGCCACCAGATTGAAACAGAATATAAAATTCTTGACACAGTAGTTTATAATAATTGTTAATAGACGTTGCTCTTCTGCTCAACTTCCAGTGGTTCGTGCTACTTTAACGAACCAACTACTCTGGTTCCTGACATTAGCTGGTGAGAAGTCAATGTAGTCTGCCATTGTCTATGTTCAACTTGGTCAGTTGGTGTAACAACCATAATATACTTCATTCAGTCCATGAATTAGCTCATCTGTTCACTGTTCTGTCGTCTCATTTGCTGACGCAGACTCTTTCCTAATTTGATTCTGGTGCTCAGTGCTGATGGACAACCACAAGGAGAAAGATGCCATCGCGGAGCTGACCAAGGCAATCGCCTTCAAGGCGGACCTGAACCTGCTCCACCTGCGCGCGGCCTTCCACGAGCACATCGGCGACATCTCGAGCGCCCTCCGGGACTGCCGCGCGGCCCTCTCGGTGGACCCCAACCACCAGGAGATGCTGGAGCTTCACCACCGGGTGAACAGCCAGGAACCCTGAGCAAGCGTGCCATGGTGTACATACAGGACAGGAGCCCTCATAGCCATACCAGTGTATGTTTTGTACCATACACACAGCAGGTCAATGTAAGGATAGTAGAAAGCCAGTTTTAGGTCCCTCCCTCGCCTTGCAGAAAACCAAATACCCCATTCCTTGTGTCCGTAATTAGATATGTTGTTTGCTATAGCCTCCCCTCAGTAAATTATTGTTGTCGGTTGTGATTAAGCCTCCTAATTGTACCCGCCATGTGGCCCACCGGCCCATGCTGCCAGAATCAACAAGTTTTGACTGTACCATGTGTATGTAAATGAAATGGGAAAAAGGATGAATGGAAGCTTTTGTCGGCGCGAAACTGTCAAGCCTGCAGGCAACTTGCCGAGCACTGAATGATTGCACATGTGCAGGTTTATGCTTTTGGTTGGTGATTTATCTGGATTGTTCTTTGTTTAATGCTAGTACCTTGATTGCTGGAAAACAGCTTTCACGTGTCTGAACCTTGATTTCTTCTGCTGGGTTTTAACTCTAGCCTACTCCACCTTGTTTGGGACTGAAAGGCTTTGTTGTTGCTGTTGTTGTTCTTTGTTTAATGCTAGTACCCATCAGTCAGGATTACTAGCATGCAGTCATTATTGCACTGATTGGGGGTGAAGACTGAAGGAGAGCAATGGCTGACAACAGCTTCTGAAAATGAATGGTCAATGGGTGAGGACTGGGGACAGGGCAGGGCATCACTTTCTGAGGCAGAATGGTCCATGAATAGTGAATCGGAACGTCTCCCTAGTGACGGGAACGGGACAAATCGTAGAATTCCTTTTACCAGCACTTGCCACTTGGTGTTGGTGGTGTGCTTGAATGTGACGTTTGGCTACTCTGAATTGACTGATGCATCAGGGATTAGCATGCAGTCACTGACGACGACACATTGGATGATTTACATATATGAAGTAAAAAGAGGATAAAGATTGCTCGGACAAAACCTAGTGAGAAGCGACTTTCAGCGTCATCCTTTCCCACCCTCATTTACATCTTACAAGTAGGAGATCCGCCTCGAGCTGATGTTCTGAAAATTCACACAAATTCTTCTCTAAACAGGCACTGCAGCTACTCTCCGTAGCTTTGTCCGTGCCTTTATCATCTTTCTGTTTTTCGTCGATCCGTTCACATATTTTCGTTGGTTTGCCGAACAACAGTCTCAACAAATACGATCCCATGCGTGTCCTATCACCAAGATCTCCAACACAAATTGAAAATGGGAAAGAAGCTAAGGTGCGTCAATTAGGTGATTGGTGTAACCATCCAGGCACAAATGACAAAAGTTCGAGGCCTTTCGCTGGCTTTCTTCGTGCCCAACTGCCGGTCGCCAAATGTCGAAAACGTCAAGAATACTCACGTCATGGGGGTAGCGGCCGCCCCCAACTTTTGTGGTGGAGTTTCGGCGGCAAGCTTCCCTGCGACCTGTGAGAGGTACATGAAGAGAAAACGATGTGAATGCGTTGAATGTTTCACGGGTGACGGTGCCTGTCGGATGAGCATGCGATGAGAACCAAGTGAGGATAAGAACAACTAAGGTGATGATGATAAGTTGTTCGTAGCATCGGCTTCTCGAGCACAAAAACAAGTTTGAAGATGAGACTTTAATTAGCAAAAGAGGACGACCTTTTTGGAATGCGATATATACTTTGCAGTTGTACTATCCTGTTTTTAAGTTAATGAAAATAAGGCATAAGCTACTTTGATTTGCTGGACATCTCCTAGTGCACAGCCTTTCTATCTTTTTGTGCCCTTTGATTATCGGACTCGCTAGCGTCTGGATGTCCGATCTGTACCGCTAGCATCAAACGGTGCCGCGCTTGCTGCACGCCCGTGAGTACGCGGGATTCGTTCGCAAAGGCTGGACCGCCTCGCGTCGCTCCTTTCCCGTGCGAATGCCCGTCTGCGCCCGCTCTGCTTCCGGACCGCCTGCGCCCATATGGGTCTCAGTCACCTGCTCCGCCTGTGGATGTGCACCGCAGATGCATGGCGCGGGATGAGGGAGCCGCGTGGCATGAGATCGATGGGGGCGCGCGAGGGATGGAGCGAGCGGACGGCACGGTGATTTGTGTGGTCTGGGAAGCGGCTTTCCAGCGAACGGACGCCTTATTCCAAACATCTCCGTTTGATTATCTGTGAATCACCATATATGTGAACATTTTGTGAGCCCGCCAGTCAAATCATGAGCATTGCAACTACTAGTACGAAAGCAGTGCTCCTTTAAAATTACTGCGGGGGTGTTCGGTTGCAGCTTTTTCTTGCAGCCGCTACAGTATTTTTTGCACCACACGTATGCGAAAAGGAATACACACCACTACCAATATACTCCATAAAAGTTTTAAGGGTACTGTATCAGTTCTGCACATACTATTTTGACTTTTAGCCAGAAATTTTGCAAAAGTGCATGTTCCTATATTTGCTACACATCTGTTTGTTTCAATTTTCAAGAACACAAAGTGGTGGACTCACATGCACCCTGTGTTTGTTTTTGGAGCCTTTTATCTGCGTGCCATTATAAAAGATTATAATTTTCTAGCACTACGTGAAATAGTATTTGTAGGGCACAGTTCTAGAGGCTTTGAATTGTCCCTATAAATTGATTTGTAGAGAGCGGATGATGTTATCAACCGCCCCTATAAATCAATTTATAGCTGCCTCTACAAATCAATTTCCAAAAATCACGAAAAAGGACAAAAAAATAGCAATTTTTTTAATCAATGAGGTCTCCACCCAGCAGCCACACACCCAATCTATGGTTGTAGCATTTTTTTCATGATTTTTGCACACTTTGTGTCGGCCAGGATTTGAACCCGCAACCTCTTCCTCGTGCATAAACTCCTCTACCACTACATCTCACGATTACTTGTGTCTACAATCCACTTTGGTTCTCTATATATTATACAAAACTGAGCATAAATTAATTGTTTGAGGCCCTAAACTAATTCAAATGAAAAAAATTGTCAACTACAAAGTTTTATAACTTTTCGAGATCTACAAATTTCATTTCGGTAGTTTCTCCATCCGAGGTCACTTATAAAATTTGAATTTCAAATTTGAGAAATTCAAACATAATTTTCCATGATAAGATGATTTCAAATGAGAAAGTTATCAACTAAAAAGTTTCATAACTTTTTAAGATCTACAACTTTCATTTTTACTGTTTGTCCACCCGAGGTAGTTGAAAAAATTAAAATTTAAAATTTTTAGAAATTCAAACGTAGTTTTCCTTGACAAGATGATTTCAAATTAAAAAGTTATCAACTACAAAGTTTCATAACTTTTTGAGATCTATAACTTTTATTTTGATTGTTTCTTCATCCAAGATCGTTTACAAAATTTAAATTTTAGTGCTTAATTTTTAATACTCGGTGTCTATTTGTAGGGGTTGTTCAATATTAAGCCATCCCTATAAATATGATTTGTAGGGGCGGCTGGATATAGAGGCGTCCCTACAAATCAGATCATTTGTAGGGACGACTGATAACACCGGCCGCCCCTACAAATCTATTTGTAAGAGTGGCTTATTTGGCAACTATTTGTAGGGGCGGCTCAATGCCCCTACAAAGAAAAAGAGGCGTTGCCACAAATCATTTTTTTAGTAGTGTACAAGTTACTAAAAAGTTCGAGTGATCATAGCTATCATCATCGGAAACTTTTTTTTTTTGTTCTTTACGCCGTTCCGTCCACTTTTATCTCTAATAGTATTAAACTACGGTAAGAAGAGTCCAAAATACCCTCTTGTCTCAACGCCGTGCAAAAGTTTTTCATTCCTCTGGTGCCACCGATCGACCACCGCCACTGCCACTGCCACTGCCACGTCTTCAGGCTGCATGGTAGCGCGACGCGTACAGTACTTAAGCTACCACACCCGATGATTAACTACTAGCTAGCTCGCTAATCACTCGTTGCTATGCATATATGTGCACGGTCATCGTATATAATTCATCGACCACAACAGTCTCTCTCTCTACCATTACTAATTAACGGTTCCGAGTATAGCCCGATCATCAGGCGCCTTGTACTGGTTGATTTTTTTAACACTTTTTTAAAACTATTTCTAAATTTGACACTATTTTTTTTAAATATAATATTTTTGGCCACGTCTATTTGTATAGTACGGTAAAATCACTTTGTCGCGTCATACATGAGGCACGACAAGGGTGCCCACGTGGTAGTCAGCCGCGGCGTTGGCCGCTGACGTGCAGAGCTGCCGCGCCACCCGTCAGGGCGTGGGGCTAGCGCGCGACCCATCACGGCGCGGCAGCCTCCGGCTTGTTATTTCAGAGATAGCTTGCTCAGCTATTACTGCCATCCTATCCGACGCGGAGGGCCCTCTGCTGGGGGAAAGCGCGGGTGTTGCAGCCTTCTGCGGCGGCCCCGTGACCATTTTCTCCGGCCGTGCAATGGCAACGCGCCTGCTCCGAGCTCATCGCGAATCAAGTGGAAGAAGGAACGACGACGCCACGACGGCTTTCCAGACGGCGGCGGGCGGTTCTCCTAGCAACATCCGTTGTGTGTCCCGTGATCCCCTTTGGTGTTCTTGTGCTCCATGGTGGGGCCCGCGTCCTGCACTGTGGGACCCCAATCCTACGCTGAAGGCTCTGCAACCGCTCCGTGGCTGGCATCGTGTCCTGCATGCACGGGCCTCTGGCGTCCTCCTCTTCCTCACGGTGACAAGCGCCATCCAGGACATCCTCGTGTCCTCTCTCAGGAGTCAGGACCTTTCATTTTGGATGGCGTGGGGCGCATGCACGACAAGTCCATGATTTCCAGTCTCTGTGCCTACTTTTTTATGGTTGCTGTGTCACGTATACGGAGCTTTGGTTGGTTCAATTTCGATTTGTTTTTCAGTGTTTCTGTAGGCATATAAGTGGTAAAGCAGCTATTAGTGTTCGTGTTTACCGCCAACTGTCAGTTGATGCAGGTCCTTAGATTTAACATTGGTGGCCGTGGATTTATTTTCTTGAGTCCGGTGAAGCCTCCATCCTATCTACGGCTTAAGACTACTTATCCTCGAAGACACAGGCCGATCAGACAGTCGAGAGGAGCACCGACTGTGTTATCGGAGTGCGAGAACGAGGACCTCGATGTGTCTATCGTGGTCATTTCTCGTGAGCCCTTTGGCCCTAACGGGCCCCACGCCTCTGACGGAAGCATCACCTATGTCTACAGAAGCAGATTAGCAGTAGCTTTTACTTGTTTGAGCTCTATAATGTGGGAATTCTTTTCCCACACTCATGTACTGTGCTTTAAATTATGTATTAAAAGTCGTTGTTGTCAAAAAAAAAAAAATCCAAACAGGCCCGGCGCATGCAGCTGCACGTGTGCACAACGCTTTAATTAGTTTATTTAGATCTGTCTCGTTTTACAATGAGCATGAACACAATGGCTCCGTTCGCTTCGCTGAAAAAACAAGCCGAAATACTATTCCGGCTGATTTGTTGTGAGAGAAAAATACTATTTCAGCTAAAACCAAGCCGAAAAGAACAGATTATAAAACAAGCGAACAAGAAAAATAAGTATTGCAGTTCTTCTTTTTTCCTTTTTTATTAAAAAAAGAACTGCAACACAATAATACATGCCATCCCTTCCAACTTGTGGATAAGATACAGACAGCTAGTTCGGGCCCCACATGCACAACAGTTGCTTAATGGACCAGTAAAATACATGAATAAGAAGTACAGCGTAATGGATTTTATATATTTACTGTTTGCATGCATGAAGTTGAGATAGGTTCAGTGCATAAATTAATAAGTGTACGTAGCATGTGGAAAGCCCTAGCGATCGAGATGGCACAGATTAATAACAGCGCTGTGAAGCCACCACATATAACTGAGCAAGCTATCTCTGAAATGACAAGCTGGGGGCTGCCGCGCCGTGATGGGTGGCGCGGTAGCCCCGCGCCCTGACGGGTGGCGCGGTAGCCCTATCACGTCAGTGGTCAACGCCGCGGCTGACTACCATGTGGGTACCCCGCCGCGCCCCATGCATGGCGTGTCATAGTGATTTTGCCGCGTCATACGAATAGGCGTAGCTAAAAGTGTTAGTTTTTAAAAAAAAATAAACAGCATTAAATTTAAAAATAGTTAAAAAAAGTGTTAAAAATAAAAATAAAAAAATCTACTGGTTGATGGAGGCGTCACACGGGCGAGGGTAGTCCATGAGCTTGTCGAACGTGCCGTCGGGCACCACCCGGATCTCCAGCGGCCCGATGGAGCGGTCGGTGGCGCGGCCCTGGTGGCAGACGCTGTTACGGGCCTCCTCCACGGCCAGGCAGCAGTCCTCGAACACCGCCGCGGCACGGGCGTCGCCGTGGCCACGCGCGCCCCAGAACAGCACGTAGTGGACCGGGATGGTCCCGGCGTCCGCGTAGCTCGTGTACCCCACCACGCGATGCGCCGAACGGGACCCGCTGCACCGCGCCGTTCATCGCCGCGTGCAGCTCCGCCTCGTCGGTCTTGTCGGAGTCGATGCTCAGGACCACGTTCTTGCGGCGCCTGAAGTTGAACACGATCTCGTACTCATACCGTGCCCGAGCTTGACGTCGACGAGGTCCACGAGGTCGCGCTGGCCAAGCCGCTAACCCGCTGGGCTAACCGCGCCGCAAACCCACGCAGCCCCGCGCCGCAAGCCCGCAAGATTGGAACGGATTGATGTGGCTCGTCCACGTAGCCCGGCGGCGCCGCAACGACCCGCATATCCCGACGGCATCCTGGAGCTCGGAAACGCGCGCGCATGGCGCACTCCACTGCTCCTGGTCTGAACTTTTACGGTGTCGACTTGTACCACCGGCGCCTTCCGCGCAGACTATGGCGCTGCCTTGCATTTTTCTACGCTCTATTGGCTTTCCATGTCCAATCGTTGAAGCAATAGCAGAGGTATCGGAGTCGTCGAGTCGATGCAGAACAACACAATGGCGACGAGATGAAGAGCAGGAGGATGCTCACCACGCCGCCGCGCGGCCACGGCGAGCAAGAGTTTCATCCAGACGCCGACGCCTGGGACGAGCACTGATGGAGGCTACTACTCGACCTCGATCGAGTCAGCGACATCCACGTACGTACGCCTACGCCGGTGTCAGGCGGTGAGGCTGCTTCCGCTTCAACCGGCGGCCAAGCATCGGACGACGCACAAGCAGGATATGGCTTGGATCCCGCCGCCGAGACGAGACGGAGTACGTGCATGCTGAACCAAAAGGCCATCAACGACGTCTGTCCAAACCTAGCAGGCTCTCATATTGATAAATTATTTAATCATGTACTCGCTCCCGATTGCCGCGCACGCTAACGCCAGACTTACGCGGCGGGACTGCGGGCCGCCGCAAGGTGACGCGGCAGAAAACGGGCCGCCGCGCATGGCCACGTACAGGCAAGCGGCGTACGCGGACGCGGGACGGACTGCCCGCAGCTGCGCCTTTTTGCAGCGGCGGCGAGAGCCAGGAGGCGGCGCGCGTGGAGCTGCCGCAGCCGGTCCTCGCCGTGGAGCTGCCACAGCGCGTGGAGGTGACGCGAGGAGGAGAGCTCTGGCCCTGCGGCGCTCTGGTCACCGCGAACGGTGCGCGCGAGCTCTGGCCCTGGAACCATGGGCGGCGCGGGCGAGCTCAGCGTGTGGGAGGGCAGCAGCGAGAGCAGCCGCGTGGAGCCTCGACGCGAGGAACACAGCCAGCACCGAGATGGGCGCGGACGTGCAAAGGGATTGAGAGAGGGGGTATTTTGGACATCTTCGCTGGCGACCCACATATCAGGGCTAGCAAAGAAAAACCAACGGAAAGTGGACCGAATGGTGTAAAGGGCAAAAATATTTCGGACAATGGCACCTATGACCGCTCGAACTTTTTAGTGGCTTGTAGGAAATTGCAATATTTTATAAAAGGCTCTTGTTTTTTGACTCTACTAGCAGACACACGCGCACGAGGAGTACACCCCGCCAGTACATTTTCTCTCTTCTTCCTCACATGTTATCTTCTATTCTTCTTCCTCCTCACACTCCCCTGCAGCTGGTTCATCCTGCCTAGCCCTGGTGCCGTGGACGTCACCTCCACCGCCGCCCTTGACCACGGCCACCCCTAACATGAGCTTCTACTCTAGATCCGGCGCGAGCACCCCGCCTCCACCACTTGCCAGGCTCTAGGAGCGCGCCACCGCCTCTGTCATCCACCACCGTCATGCTAATCCCAAGCTTCTCCTCCTCCTCTTCTTCTTCAGTGGACACCCTCGCCGCCAGCACTACCCAGCCACTCTCTCCCACTGCCCGGTGGGCAGCGCCCTTGTCCTCCGCCACAGTCTCGACCACGACCACTACCTCTCTAGCAACCTCTCCCCGGCAGCCCATTCTAAGCGCGGAGAGCGTAGAAACCCCTGAAATCCCGAACCCTGACGCTACCACATGCTTCATCTCCGGCAGCGGTGGCAAGAGTTCATTTTTTTTTGTCGTTTAGTGCGTGTGAGCTGAAGCATTTGGGTTGTTTTTTCTGCCTGTTCCAACTAGTAGCACCGCTTTAGGCTCCCAAAGTCTCCATTCCTTGGCAACTGAAATCGATCACTAGGCCCACCACTACTAGCTTGGGGCTCGCTGGCTCGCTAGCATGAAGCCCACTTTTCTGTTCCATTCATGATTCATCTCGTGAACTAGCACTAGTTTTATAAATTGCAGCTAACATCATCTCCAAAATCTAGTAGTATAGTTCTCACTAAACAGAAAATGCAAATAATGATAAAGCGCATGTATATGTCACCATACACAAAAGGAAATAAACTTTGACCACCTCTAAACAAGTATTTGAATGGGCCATATAAATAATGCCACTGGGTGGATTCTTGTCACGTAACACTGTAACAGCATCTTCATATTTTCAGAAACAGCCGAAAGCAAGTACTAGAAACAGGCTGAAGGGGGTCTTCATAACCAGCCGGTGGCACAGACACGTCACACGGACACCACCAAACAATTGAATTGAAACACTCAAACACACAAATGATGAAATAAATAACACGCGCGCAACAGGGAATGGAGGCACGGGCACGGGTACGGATGTACACGTGCCATATTGGACTTGGACCCACCTGGCAGTTGCTCCCAGGCAGCCTGCTTGTCTTCTTCAGCATCTGACGGGTGATCTGAACCTGTATCTGCGAAAGACACGGGTGTACGATGATATCGTCATAAAGCGTTTCTCAATTGCCTTAAAGAGATTTGATAAATTCCTGTGTATCTAAATGGCAAACGTACGTACCTGTCCGAGACTGTCCCGTTTGGCAGAGCTTTTCCACCAGCTTTAGAAATCGTTTGGAGCCGTTTTCTGCCAAACGGGGTAAAGTGAAATAGCTTCACTGGTGAAGCCCCTAAAAACATGCTCTCACAATGATTTGGGGTGGGATGGAACCAAAAAAAGTGGCTTCTCCCGGCTCTTCCTCCAGGCCCAAAAACATGCTCTCACAGGGAAACCATTTTACCAAATGGTTCACCAAAACCGCTTTAGCTCCACCGGTGAAACTATTCATGGAGCTGAAGAAAAAAAAGCTTCATTAGTAGTCGTCCACTGTCACCGTCTTCTCAGCTAGCTGTTCCTGGATTTTCTTCTTGAGCTCACCTTTCTTGCGCCTTCGTTCATGTCTTTCTTCCTCCAATATCTTGTTTTGAGTCTCAGGATCAGGAGCGGCGTCTATCCTGTCCCAATCCAAAAGAAAGGAAACTCTGGCCTGCTGTGAGTAGCTCTGCTTCGCAGCAAGATACCTCGGTGTGGGACTTCGTCGGCAACAACGACGTGAACGGTGATGACGTCGTCTTGACGCCTTCGTCGGTCGGGGGTCGGCAATGCAGTGTGGTGACTGGCTGACGGTAGTTTGGAGGCGGTGCGGTGTGCATCTTCTTTGAGTTTCGGCTTTGTTGGGGTCGTGTCGATGTCCCAGTCCGACCGCCTAGAGTTGATTTTCTCTTTGAGTTTGCGTTCGGCGCGTGTTGATGTCTCAATCCAACCGGCCCGAGTTGTTTTTTCCTAGTTTTTTCGTGTTATCGTGTGCTACTGTTTGTTGTTGCCTAGTCTTGGTTCATCTTCTTTTTAATATAGTCGGCAGCTCTCCTGGCTGATCCGTTAAAAAAAGAGTGGTGGACCTACATGCACCCTAGTTTGTTTCTAGGACTCTACTAGCAGGCGCATGCGGATGCAAAGTATACCCCGCCCGTACACTTTTCTCTCTTCTTCCTCACACGTTATCTTCTATTCTTCTTCTTCCTCACACTACCCCACGGCTGGCATACCTTGCCCAGCTTCGGCGCCGTGGACGTCATCTCCACCGCCGCCCTCGACCACGACCACGACCACCCCTAACCTGAGCTTCTCCTCTAGATCCGGTGCGAGCAACCCAGCCTCCACCACCTCCCGGGCTCCAGCGGCACGCCGCCTCCGCCATCCACCATCGTCACGGTAATCCCAAGCTTCTCTTCTTCTCCGGTGGACGCCCTCGCCGCTGGCATTGACCAACCAACCTCTCCCACCGCCCAGCAGGTGGCACTTCCGCCCTCCGCCGCTGTCTCGACCACAACCACTGCCTGTCCAGCAACCTCTCCCCGACAACCCATTCTAAGTGCGGAGAGCATAGAAACCCCCGAAACCCCGAACCCTAACGCGACCACCTGCTTCATCTCTAGCGGCGGCGATGGCAGGTAAGTTCATCTGTATTTTTTTTTGTCGTTTAGTGTGTGCATGCTGAAGTCTTTCTGCACGCACGTGCTGAAAGAAGCATTTGGGTTGTTTTTGTTTTCTTCGCGCGTACCAACTAGTTGCACCGCTTTGGGCTTTGGCCCAAAGTCTCCATTCCTTGGCAACTGAAATCAGTAGGCCCATCACTACTAGCTTGGGGCTCACTGGCTCTCTAGCGTGAAGCCCACTGTTCCGTTCCATCCACGATTTATCTCATGAACTAGCTCTAGTTCATAAATTGCAGCTAACATCATCTCCAAAATCTAGCAGTGTTATCACCAAACAGAAAATGCAAACCATGATAAAGCAAATGTGTATGTCAACACACAGAAGGAAATAAACTTTGGCCACTTCTAACACAAGTATTTGAATGGGCCATATAAATAATGTCACTGGGTGGATTCTTGACACGTAACACTGTGACAGCATCTTCATATCTTCATAAACAGCCGAAAGCAAGTAGAAACGGGCTGGAGGGGGTATTCATAACCACCCGGAGGCACAGACACGTCACACGTACACCACCAAACAGTTGAATTGAAACACTCAAACACACAAATAAGGAAATAAATAACACGCGCACAACAGGTAATGGCGGCGCGGGCACGGGTACGGGTACGCACGTACACGTGCCATATTAGACTTGGACCCACTTGGCAGTTGCTACCAGGCAGCCCACTGGTCTTCTTCAGCGTCTGACGGGTGATCTGAACCTGTATCTGCGAAAGACACGGGTGTACGCTGATATCATCATAAAGCGTTTCTTATTGCCGAAAGGACTTTGATAAGTTCCTGTGTATCTATATATCAGAGAGTCGCGCAAAAATGGAAAACGTACATACCTGTCCGACACTCAGTCAGAAGTAGTTCACCGTCACAATGGGTTCGTTTGTATTCTGAGCTAGCTGTTCCTGGATTTTCTTCTTGAGCTCACCTTCATTTAATGTCGTTTCCACAGGAAAGAAAACTCTGACCTGGACCTCGCTGATGCTTGGGAGAAATCCTAACCCAGAAAAATCAATTTCATTGTTTACTTCCCCTGTGACATGCAGCCGCTCCAGTTTGGGCATTGCTCTTTCGTCAAATTTGATTGATTTGATGTTCGCTGTCACTTCAAGGGTAAACACCCTGAGGCTTCCGAATGCTATTCCGCCCTGCGGAGATTTGAAATCAAGTTCTTCACACTGAAACGACGACCAGTTGCGAAGCAGAACTAAAATTTCTAGCTTCGGTAGTTTCCCAAGGAATTCCATAGTAGCATCGTGCTCCAATAGCCAAGTGCCTACTGGTTTCAACTTCACCAGATGCTGGAGCTCCTTTATCACCGGCAACTTTTCCAGATTGCCGTACAGCTTGAGGCTCTGCAGGTTTTTCCGGAGGTGAGGATATCAAATCCAAGCAATCACGCAAACCTGGCTTTCCAGCTGAACTCACCGACAGCGATTCCAGCCTGCTGAGATTGGAAATGGCCGAGCAAAACGCGCGGCCATTCTTCTTGTTGATGCCGCTCACTCCTAACTTGCGCAACCCTGTGAGCATTCCGATGTCCCGTAGAACGTTATTTCCCCTTCCGAGATTCACTTCTCGTAGTGTGTGCAAGTCTTTAAGTTTTCTGATACCCCTTGGCACCATAGCACCTCTTTCTTTATATGCTCTCGTCACGGCTGCAGGGAATCTCACGCAGCAAGCGAAAGTGCATGCATCACGCCTGGTAAGGGCCTTACAGCCGGGGCCATCAATGTTCAAAAGAATAGGTAAGCAACATCTCGCACAGAGAGAGCCCCGTAAAGACACCTCTTCATTAAACTATCAGTTTCCTCCTTTACGTAATCTGTGTGCCATCCAGCATGGATGTACTGTAGCTTCCGAAGTTTGATGATGGTTTTTGGCAGAGCCCTTACCCATGTATCTCTGACGTCTAGCGTTTGGAGTTGCCTCAGGTTGCCCAATGAATCTGGCAGTAGATCAATGCCAATGCATCCCCGTAGAGAAAGGTATTTTAGGTGAATGAGCTTCCAAATCTGATCAAGATGATGATACTTTAGATCACTATTAGTCCCTTCCAAGTCGAGCACTCGTAGAAAACTCATCTTCTTAGAAATGAAAAATGGCCTCCACTCGCCACACAGTGATAGTGATCGTATTCTGGACATGTCCACTACGCCCTCGAATTCACTCTTATCTCCCTTCCAGTTGCTACTTATAGCAAGATGGCGTATTGGGCCATGGATATTCATGCTGCAGCCTTCTTTCAGTGTGAAGACAAGGTTTTCCTCCATTGACTTTGAGATGGCAATGTCACGGATGAGATCGTGGACTTTGCAAGAGTCTATTGATTTCCTGCTGTAAACTGATTGCTGAGATGGTAAAATCATGCTTCTGTTCTTGAGTTCCACGAAGTAGTCATCAGCTATTTGACTGGCAGACTTCCCATGTGCCTCAGATGAGTAACCTTCTGCTATCCACCGACGCACCAAACGCCTTCGACTAATGGTCTGGTCTTCAGGAAATATGGACAGATATAAGAAACAAGACTTGAGATGGTAGGGTAAACCATCATAGCTTTTCTCAAGCACAGCTTTTATTATCCCAAGCTCTGGATTCATCTCTAACTCAGCTCTGATATTCTCATTCAACTTTCTCCACTCTTCTATTGTCTTTGGTCGGCTTGCCAAGTAACCACCTATGGCAGCTATTGCAAGTGGAAGTCCATCACACTTCTTTAGGATTTGTTTTTCTTCTTCAACCAAGTCGTGATACTTCTCAAACAAATCTTTAGTCTTCCCAAATACCTGATATTGGTACAGTTTAAGTTTTTTTTTTCAAATGAAACAATTTATGTATTTCAGTACGTACACCAAAGTAAAATCTACTTAGGTCTCTGCCTCCTCAGTTACTACTAGAACTATCAAGTAGGCCCATGGAAGCACGGAAAGACTTGCTATGCTATAATACTTCAATTGCAAATGCTATATTAATGCAGCCTATTTCTTCATCATTCTTATAGCCTCTCGCCCACACACACTACTGGAAACAGAGACTTTGCCGAGTGTAAATTTCTTTGCCGAGTGTCAAAAATCGGACACTCGGCAAAGATCTTCTTTGCCGAGTGCTGCACTCGGCAAAGAATTACACTCGGCAAAGATTTCTGATATCACATGTGGAGATGTCCTGGTTTGTAAGCATCGTACGTGACAACGTGCACGAAATCTTCTGAAATTTTTATCATAGCCTCCACATATGATATCACGACATCTCAACAAGTTTCATGATTTTTGGACATCGTTTGCATTTTATAGAATTTATAAACACTTCACACGCAATTTCGCGGACATGTTTCGTGAACGAGATATCCGAAATTTTGGGTCCGTTCCTGGATACGGCCTCTCATAACACACACTAACATGACTATCAATTTTCGAATCATTAAACTCCATTATTCGTACCACGTGCAGTTCAAATTTCTAATTTCCAGAAAAATTCAAGTAAACGAAATAAAGTAACTAAATATAACAAAAAGCCACAAAAAAATCTTCAAATTGTAACTAGGAGTTCCTGGTGCTTTAAAAAGGCTGCACAAAAAAATTGGAGGCCAAAAACAAAAAAAACAAAAAAACTTTGCCGAGTGCTGGGGCATGGCACTCGGCAAAGGGTTTCTTTGCCGAGTGCCAGCCCTCAGGCACTCGGCAAAGAATGTTTTAATTTTTTTTTAAATTTTCCTCTTTGCCAAGTGCGTACACAGGAGCACTCGGCAAAGAAATAATTAAAAAATTTTTTTAAATCTTTGCCGAGTGCCGTCCAGGGAGCACTCGGCAAAGTATTTTTAAAAATAAAAAAATTTTCTTTGCCGAGCGCCAGATCTGAGACGCTCGGCAAAGAATTTAAAAAAAATAAAAAAAAATCTTTGCCGAGTGCCAGATCTAGGGCACTCGGCAAAAAGAAATTAAAAACAAAAAAAAATCTTTGCGAAAGTGCCTCCACGATCCAAGACTCGGCAAAAGCCATGGACACCGGTTTTTTGGCCGGCGGGCGATCCTTTGCCGAGCAAACCAGCATAACGCCTTAGCCGCGCTTCGCCCGCGCCGCCCGCCGCCCGCCGCACCGCCGCCCGCACGCCTTCACACCACCGCCTCCATCGCACACGCGCCGCCAGCACTCACTGCCCGCCGCGCCCGCCGCCCTAACGCCCGCGCGCTTCAGCGCGCCGCCACGCGCGCCGCGCGCACACGCCGCCATGCACGCGACCGCGCGCACCACCGCGCGCGCCCTAACGCCCACATGCCACCATACTTTGCTGCCGCGCGCGCCACGCTGCGCCCGGCCGCCTTGCATTGCCGCGCCCGCGTCGCCGGACGCGCGCGTTACCCTGCCTTGCGCCCGCCGCCCGCGCCATGCCTTGCCTCATTCGCCCCGTGCCCTCGGCCAGCCCCGCCCTCGACCAGCGCCTTGCTTTCACGCCGCCGCCGCCACTGCCCGGCATGCTTCCTGCCCGCCCGGCCCTTCCCCGACCGCGCCGCCTGCCCGGCTTGGCCCTGCGCCCGGCCGCGCCTTTTTCCGACCTTACCCTGCCCCGGCACGCGCCCGTGGACCACCCGCCTGACGCCATCCGTGCTCGACCCCATCCACGACTCACCGATCCCGACGCCGCCAGCCCCTACCCGTCGCCCGTCGTCGGTATGCCTTCTCACTTATTATTGTGGAGGTAGTGGTAGTTGTAGTAGTATTAGTTGTACTAGTGGCAGTATTAGTACAACTAGTGGTAGTATTAGTAGTAGAATTAGTGGTAGTAGTAGTAGTAGAAGTAGTGGTAGTAGTAGTACAAGTAGAGGTACTACTTGGATATATTCTTCTACATGGATTGATATCCAAACTACATGGCTTCTGTTGAGCCATATGTGCTTGTCGGCCATCGTGCCGTTGTTTTTTGCAGGTTTTGGAAACCTCACCGTGCAGGGGAGGTTCCGCCGATTTTTTTTGTAAATAATGAGTATTTTGTTCCATTTTGTAGAGAAGAGCCCGTCGAGTTGAGTCGGAGTTCTCGCCACCGTGTCGGTCCGCTGCACCGCAGGCGTCTCTGCCTGCTTTGACCGACCCGCCACGGCCCCGCTAGCCTGACTCCATCGCCACCCTAGGTATAACCCCTCTTTTTATATCATTGTCGTAGATCGCGTAACCCAATTAGGCGTCTCCCGTTCGAAAGAGATACGGTTGGAGGTATGCAGATCTTTGCATATCTATGACCGTATCTATTCGGATTGTCCACGCTTTTGGACAGCCAGCGGATGCGTAGATGGGTTAGTTTCCATGTTACGCTCTAGTCAGGAGCGGACTTTCGGCATCACCTCCCTGTTGTTCTCCGGATACACACTCTTCTTTGATAGGACGTGTATCTGGAGAACAGCGGGGAGGTGCTGCCGAAATTCTATCTCGGATAGGAGTAGAGCATGGAAACTAACCTCATCTACACATCTGCCGGTGGGATTAGGACCTATCCTCACCTATTAGACAGTAGGAACACCATGTAGATGCAATTGATGGTTACATTACTCGCCGATACATATGTTAGAGGATGGATGACCGTCAGTGGATGTACACGGGCTGGAGAAGTCAGAGTGATTACACCACGGAATGGATGAACAAGACCGATGCTTTCTTGAACAGTGCATTTGGCAACGCTGCTAAAGGACATTGCCTAGTTTTGTGTCCCTGCAGCAAATGTGGAAACAGGAGAAGGGTAAACAAGGTGGAAATGGGTAAACATCTTGTGAAGAATGGATTTACGCCGGACTACACCGTGGGTCCACCATGGTGAAGCCCATCGTATGAGAGAGGAGGTGGTGAGACCACGGGTGGAGGCTTTTGATGCGATGATGCGGGGTAGCGAGACATGTTAGATGACTTTCACCAAGGACAGTTCGATGAGGGACGTGAGAAGGAGGAGATGGAAGCGGCCTTACACGGGCATTCTACGATATGATGGACTCAACACGAAACCCCTTCACGATCGGTCAACGGTGTCTCAACTGGATGCCATTGGATGCTTAATGGGGTTGAAGTCCGAGTTAAACTTAAGTCGACTGGGCCCGATAAGATGTTGGCCGTGATTGGCACCTTGCTTCCGGAGGGCCACATTCTCGCCAAGAGCATGTACGAGTCACGAAACTCCTTCGAGCACTTAAGATGCCGTATGAGCAGATACATGCTTGTCCGAAAGGGTGTCTCCTATTTAGGAAAGAACACGAGCATGCAAAGTTCTGTCCAAAGTGTAAATCCTCCAGGTACCTGGAGGTAGACTCTGATGATGGCCAGAAGAGGCAACTTACGATCCCCATGAAAATCCTACGGTACCTTCCGTTCCTACCGAGGATTCAACGGCTATACATGACCGAGGAATCCGCGAAACAGATGACATGGCACAAAAATGGCAAACGGTACAATCCTGACAAGATGGTACATCCATCCGATGGTGAAGCTTGGATCCGCTTTAATGACAAACATCGTGACAAAGCAGATGAGGCTCGTAATGTACGTGTCGCGTTGGCAACAGATGGGTTCAATCCTTATGGAATGATGGCTGCCCCATACACATGTTGGCCCGTCTTTGTTATCCCCCTTAATCTTCCCCCCGGTGTCTCCTTTCAACGACATAACGTATTCTTGTCGTTGATAATTCCTGGACACCCAGGGAGTAATATGGGTGTGTTCATGGAGCCCGTATTTGATGAATTGGTCCGTGCTTGGGACGAAGGGGTATGGACATACGATCGAGCTACAAAGACAACCTTCAAAATGCACGTTTGGTACCACTACTCCCTGCATGACTTCCTGGCGTATGGGATATTCTGCGCCTGGTGTGTTCACGGGAAGTTCCCATGCCCAATATGCAAGGAAGGTGTGAGGTTTATTGATGAGGACATCGCCACGCTGGACACACCGACGTCATGGTCTTCCCCAAGTTGCAATTCGTTCCCAACTCAGCTACCACGTCACCCTCGGATTCAGCAGACACGTCGTCACTGTTTCGGTCATAACTTCCTCATACGACGTCGAAACGGGCCGTTCTTAGATGCGTTGGAAAGGGGACGACGACGCCGTCGTTTTGGATCTGGTCCCAGCTCCAGAAGGTCCGTGGATCATTCTGTGTGACCACGGCAAGGTGCTGCGTCACCTATTTGGGCCAACTTGGCCATGTATCGTGTCGGGCCTTAAGCCCAAGTTGTGGGCGCCCAACCCCTGGCCGTCCCCAACCCTAGGTCGAGTCTTAGACTATAAACACAGCCGTCGCCGCTGCTACACAATTGGGTTTTGTTTAGAGTTTAGTTTTCCATCGAGAAACTGAATCGTTCATTGTAACTGTGGTGACAAATCCTTTTACAGTGATCCAGGGCCCCCGTTCCTGATCTCCTCCACTGTGTCGATTAGTCCTTTGGAACCGAGTTCTTGAACCCTCTATTGATATTCGCGTCATTCATATTTGCAATATCAGATTGCGTGTTTTACCTTCTTGCTTGTGCTCTTCGATTCGCTTGCAGGAAAAGCCTTCTTGGCGAGGTCAATCAAGTTGTGCTTGGTTGATAACCAACGAGCAATGATGGTGTAACAGTTTGCGGGGGTTCGAATCGCGTCTGATTTGAAGCCGGATCGCCAACGTCGAGATCTCCACATATCGAACTTACCGGCTACCTCTCGGAAGATCGGGCCTGTACTCATCATTTATTTGGTTGCAGAAGGGTGGCAAGTATTCGTCGTTTGATAGACATCGTCAATTCCTACCTCTTGACCATCCATTCAGACAAGACATCAAGAACTTTACGAAAGGCGTCAAAGTGACAAACCCCGCACCATGGATGATGAATGGTGCCGAGGTTCATGCTCGAGATAGGTGCTCTCGTGCCCAATGAAGAAGGTGGTGGTTTGTGGGATATGGTGAGCAGCATATGTGGACTCATATCTCGGGCATGACGAGGCTCCCCTATTTCGATGACCTTCTTCTACCACATAACATTGATGTAATGCACACTGAAAAGAATGTCGCCGAGGCACTTTGGGCAACACTCATGGACTTTGAAAAGTCTAAGGACAACCCAAAGGCTAGAGTAGACACAGCAGCGTTGTGCGATAGACCAAATCAAGAGATGCAACCTCCTAGTCGTGGCAAGACTTGGAGAAGGCCTAAGGCTGATTTTGTCTTGAAAAAGGACCAAAGGAGGAAGTACTTGAATGGATCAAGAAGCTAATGTTCCACGATGGGTATGCTGGTGAATCTAAAGAGGGGAGTTAACTTAGGCACTCTGCTGAGTCAGCGGGATGAAGAGTCATGACTACCACATATGGATTGAGCGGCTTCTTCGGCGATGGTTCGAGGCTATGTCCCGGAGCATGTCCGGCAAGTCTTTGCAGAGTTGAGCTACTTATTCCGCCATGACTTTGTGCCAAGGAGCTCTCTCGGACCGTCATTGATGACTTGGAAAAAGCGGCACCGTGTTGCTTTGTAAGTTAGAGAAGATCTTTCCACCCACCGCTTCTTGTCGCAAACATTTGATTGTGCACCTCCCCGTATGAGGCACGGATGGGGGGCCCGTGAGAACCGTTGGTGCTATCCAATCGAGAGATGTCTCGAAGACTCTTCGTAAAAAATGTAGAAATAAAGCCAGAATTGAGGCTTCCATTGCGAGAGGCATACATTCTAGAGGAGGTGTCGAACTTCACGGAGAAATACTACACCGAGAAACTTCCTAACGTTCATAATCCACCCCTCGTTACAATCTTTGGAGAAAATGAATCGAACCTCAGCCTTTTCCAAGGGCAACTTGGAAGCGCAAGTGCATCGACCATTAAGCAATTGAAAAATGAAGAGTGGCGCAGTATCATGCTGTATGTGTTGACCAACCTTGTCGAGGTGCAACCGTTCATTCGGTAAGTTCTAAACGAACTTGTTTCATTTCGCCGTATGTCCTTGTTTCATCGTCCAACCCCCTTGTTTCTCGTTGGTGCTGGGGAATTTCTTCGTCAATCTGGCATGGATCAAGGCAACCTACACCGCAAGAAAATGATACCCTTCTTTCACGGGGTGCGGGACTAGGGAGCCCCGATTTCATTTGTTGGTTCAAACAGAAAGCCCAAACTGATGCGCCTATAAGTGATGAGTTAAGACAGGTTGCAAATGGCTGTGCCGTTAGGGTCAAGTCATTTACCGGTTATGACGTGAATGGATATCGTTTTCACACAGCAAGCTACGAGCAGAGTCGGCCCAATCGACAAACCACAAACAGCGGAGTTGTTACGCCGAAGACGATGGACTCGACTATTATGGAAGAATTGAAGAAATCTCACGAAATATCATTTTATGGTTCCAAACCTCTTACTCGGTCATATTCAAATGCCCTTTGGTTTCATCTCGGTGTATGTAACGAGACGGAGCCCTAAGCTCGGGCTAGTCGAGATTCGACGGATTCCGTCTATCGAGGAAAAGATGTCTACATTGTGGCTCAACAGCCGTCTGTGTTTATTATATCGTCATCTGGCGTGCAAAGACGCCGAGCATCTTAAGGGTTGGTCTATTGTGCACAATGTATCGCCCACACGGTAAACTACTGTCCCAAACGA